CGGTGTTTTGTTATTGGACTTCTGTGCAAGCCGCAGTTTGGCCATAACGAACACCATGTTCGAACATAAGGATGCCCACCGGTACACTTGGTACCAGGGCAGCCTAGGTCACAGGTCGATGATAGATTTTGTAGTCGTATCATCTGACCTGCGGCCGTATGTTTTGGACACCCGAGTGAAGAGAGGGGCGGAGCTGTCAACTGATCACCACCTGGTGGTGAGTTGGATCAGATGGCAAGGGAACATGCCGCGTAGACCTGGCAGACCCAAACGCATAGTGAGGGTCTGCTGGGAACGCCTGGCAGAAGAACCTGTCAAGACGGTCTTCAACTCCCACCTCCGGCAGAGCTTTGACCACGTCCCGAGAGCAGTGGGGGACATTGAGTCCGAGTGGGCCTTGTTCCACTCTGCGATTGTCGAGGCGGCTGTTGCTAGCTGTGGCCGTAAGGTGGCCGGTGCCAGTCGTGGTGGCAACCCCCGTACCCGCTGGTGGACACAAGAGGTTCGGGGAGCCGTCAGGCTGAAGAAGGAGGCCTACAGGGCGTGGCTGGTCTGTGGGTCTCCGGAGGCAGCAGACAGGTACCGGATAGCCAAGCGGGGTGCAGCAGTGGCAGTTGCCGAGGCAAAATCTCGGGCGTGGGAGGAGTTTGGTGAGGCCATGGAGAAAGACTATCGATCGGCTCCAAAGAGGTTCTGGCAAACTGTCCGGCGCCTCAGGAGAGGAAGGCAGCAACTCGCTCACACTGTTTACAGTGGGGATGGGGAGCTGCTGACGTCAACTGAGGCTATAGTCGGACGGTGGAAGGAATACTTTGAGGAGCTCCTCAATCCCACCAATGCGCATTCCGAGGAGGAACCAGAGCTGGGAGGCCTGGGGATGGACTGTCCGATCTCGGGGGCAGAAGTTGCTGAGGTAGTCAAACAACTACACAGCGGCGGAGCCCCGGGGGCGGATGAGGTTCGTCCTGGGTATCTCAAGGCTATGGATGTTGTAGGGCTGTCATGGTTGACACGTCTCTACAACATTGCGTGGTCATCGGGGGCAGTTCCTAGGGAGTGGCAGACCGGGGTGGTGGTCCCCATCTTTAAGAAGGGTGACCTGAGGGTGTGTTCCAACTATAGGGGGATCACACTCCTCAGCCTCCCTGGAAAGGTCTACTCCAAGGTACTGGAATGGAGGGTCCGATCGATAGTTGAATCTCAGATAGAGGAGGAGCAATGTGGTTTTCGTCCTGGCCGTGGAACTGTGGACCAGCTCTATACCCTTGCAAGGGTGATGGAGGGGGCATGGGAGTTTGCCCAACCAATCCACATGTGTTTTGTGGATTTGGAGAAGGCTTATGACCGTGTCCCCAGGGGCACCCTGTGGGGGACGCTCCAGGAGTATGGGGTGGGTGGCTTTCTGTTAAGGGCCATTCAGTCCCTTTACCAGAGGAGCGTGAGTTTGGTCCGCATAGCCGGTAGTAAGTCGGACCTGTTCCCAGTGAGGGTTGGACTCCGCCAGGGCTGCCCTTTGTCACCGGTTCTGTTCATCACTTTTATGGACAGAATTTCTAGACGCAGCCGTGGTGTGGAGTGTGTCGAGTTTGGTGGCAGGAGAATCTCGTCTCTGCTTTTTGCGGATGATGTGGTCCTCCTAGCTTCATCCAGCTCTGACCTTCAGCTCTTGCTGGGTAGGTTCGCGGCCGAATGTGAAGCGGCTGGGATGAGGATCAGCACCTCCAAATCTGAGACCATGGTTCTCGACCGGAAAAGGGTGGCTTGCCACCTCCGGGTCGGGGGAGAGGTCCTACCTCAAGTGGAGGAGTTTAAGTATCTCGGGGTCTTGTTCACGAGTGAGGGTAGGAGGGATCGGGAGATCGACAGGCGGATTGGTTCGGCATCTGCAGTGATGCGGACGCTGAGCCGATCTGTCGTGGGGAAGAGGGAGCTGAGCCAGAAAGCCAGGCTCTCGATTTACCGGTCGATCTACGTCCCAATCCTCACCTATGGTCATGAGCTTTGGGTAATGACCGAAAGAACGAGATCGCGGATACAAGCGGCCGGAATGAGTTTCCTCCGTAGGGTGGCCGGGCTCAGCCTTAGAGATAGGGTGAGGAGCTCGGACATTCGGGAGGGACTCGGAGTAGAACCGCTGCTCCTCCGGATCGAAAGGAGCCAGTTGAGGTGGTTTGGGCATCTGGTCAGGATGCCTCCTGGACGCCTCCCCGGGGAGGTGTTTCGGGCATGTCCTGCCGGCAGAAGGCCCCCGGGTCGACCCAGGACACGTTGGAGAGGTTACATCTCCAATCTGGTCCGGGAACGCCTTGGGGTCCTGCCGGAGGAGCTGGTGGACAAGGCCGGGGAGAGGACGGCCTGGAGCTCCCTAGTTGGGATGCTGCCCCCGCGACCCGGACCCGGATAAGCGGAGGAAGACGAGACGAGACGAGACGAGAGACTTCTGTGTAATCCGCAGTTTGGCCATAACGAACACCATGTTTGAACATAAGGATGTGCATCGGTACTCTTGGTTTTTTGTAGTCGTATCATCTGACCTGCGGCCGTATGTTTTGGACACCCGAATGAAGAGAGAAGCGGAGCTGTCAACTGATCACCACCTGGTGGTGAGTTGGATCAGATGGCAGGGGGAGATGCCGCGTAGACCTGGCAGACCCAAATGCATAGTGAGGGTCTGCTGGGAACACCTGGTAGAAGAACCTGTCAAGACGGTCTTCAACTCCCACCTCCGACAGAGCTTTGACTGCGTCCCGAAAGCAGTGGGTGACATTGACTCAGAGTGGGCTTTGCTCCACTCTGCAATTGTTGAGGCGGCTGTTGCTAGCTGTGGTCGCAAGGTGGCCGGTGCCAGTCGTTGTAGCAACCCCCGTACCAGCTGGTGGACACCACAGGTTCGGGGAGCTGTCAGGCTGAAGAAGGAGGCCTACAGGGCGTGGCTGGTCTGTGGGTCTCCGGAGGCAGCAGACATGTACCGGATAGCCAAGCGGCGTGCAGCAGTGGCAGTTGCCGAGGCAAAATCTCGGTTTGGTGAGGCCATGGAGAAAGACTATCGATCGGCTCCAAAGAGGTTCTGGCAAACTGTCCGGTGCCTCAGGAGAGGGAGGCAGCAACTCGCTCACACTGTTTACAGTGGGGATGGGAGCTGCTGACGTCAATTGGGGCTATAGTCGTATGGTGGAAGGAATACTTTGAGGAGCACCTCAATCCCACCTTCGCGCATTCCGAGGAGGAACCAGAGCCAGGAGACCTGGGGATGGACTGTCCAATCTCAGGGGCAGAAGTAGCTGAGGTAGTCAAAAAACTACACAGCGACGGAGCACCGGGGGCAGATGAGATTCGTCCTGGGTATCTGAAGGCTATGGATGTTGTAGGGCTGTCGTGGTTGACACATCTTTGCAACATTGGGTGGTCATCGGGGGCAGTTCCTGCGGAGTGGCAGACCTGGGTGGTGGTCCCCATCTTTAAGAAGGGTGACCTGAGGGTGTGTTCCAAATATAGGGGGATCACACTCCTCAGCCTCCCTGGAAAGGTCTACTCCAAGGTACTGGAGAAGAGGGTCTGATCGATAGTTGAATCTCAGATTGAGGAGGAGCAATGTGGTTTTCGTCCTGGCCGTGGAACTGTGGACCAGCTCTAAACCCTTGCAAGGGTGATGGAGGGGGCATGGGAGTTTGCCCAACCAATCCACTTGTGTTTTGTGGATTTGGAGAAGGCTTATGACCGTGTCCCCAGGGGCACCCTGTGGGTGACGCTCCAGGAATATGGGGTAGGTGGCTTTCTGTTAAGGGCTATTCAGTCCCTTTACCAGAGGAGCGTGAGTTTGGTCTGCAAAGCTGGTACTAAGTCAGACCTGTTCCCGGTGAGGGTTGGACTCCGCCAGGGCTGCCCTTTGTCACCGGTTCTGTTCATTACCTTTATGGACAGAATTTCTAGGCACGGCCGTGGTGTGGAGTGTGTCGAGTTTGGTGGCAGGAGAATCTCGTCTCTGCTTTTGCGGATGATGTGGTCCTCCTAGCGTCATCCAGCTCTGACCTTCAGCTCTTGCTGGGTAGGTTCGTGGCCGAGTGTGAAGCGGCTGGGACGAGGATCAGCACCTCCAAATCTGAGACCATGGTTCTCGACCGGAAAAGGGTGGCTTGCCATCTCCGGGTCGGGAGAGAGGCCCTACCTCAAGTGGAGGAGTTTAAGTATCTCGGGGTCTTGTTCAAGAGTGAGGGTAGGACGGATCGGGAGATTGACAGGCGGATTGGTTCGGCGTCTGCAGTGATGCGGACGCTGAGCCGATCTGTCGTGGTGAAGAGGGAACTGAGCCAGAAAGCCAGGCTCTTGATTTACCGGTCGATCTACGTCCCAAACCTCACCTATGGTCATGAGCTTTGGGTAATGACCGAAAGAACAAGATCGCGGATACAAGCGGCCGAAATGAGTTTCCTCCGTAGGGTGGCTGAGCTAGGCTTTAAAGATAGGGTGAGGAGCTCGGACATTAGGGAGGGACTCAGAGCAGAACCGCTGCTCCTCCAGATCGTAAGGAGTCAGTTGAGGTGGTTTGGGCATCTGGTTAGGATGCCTCCTGCACGCCTCCCTGGGGAGGAGTTTCAGGCATGTCCTGCTGGCAGAAGGCCCCCGGGTCGACCCAGGACAAGTTGGAGAGGTTACATCTCCAATCTGGTCCGGGAAAGCCTTGGGGTCCTGCCGGAGGAGCTGGTGGAAGTGGCCGGGGAGAGGACGGTCTGGAGCTCCCTAGTTGGGATGCTGCCCCCGTGACCCGGACCCGGATAAGCGGAGGAAGACGACGATGACGAGCCGAGCTGTGAGAATCGGTTCTATTAAAAGAGCCGGAGTTCACATCACTAATCTCCTGGCATTTTAAGTTGAACTTATTTTCTGACAAAGATACAGTCAGGTCCATAAATATTGGGACATCAACACAATGGTAAAATTTTTGGCTCTATACACCACCACAATGGATCAATGGATATCAAATGAAACGAACAAGATGTGCATTAACTGCAGACTGTCAGCTTTTATTTGAGGTTATTTACATCCAAATCAGGTGAACTGTGTAGGAATTACAACAGTTAGCATATGTGCCTCCCACTTGTTAAGGGACCAAAAGAAATGGGACAATTGGCATCTCAGCTGTTCCATGGCAAGGTGTGTGTTATTCCCTCATCTCTATTACAATGAGCAGATAAAAGGTCTAGAGCAGGGGTGTCAAACTCATTTTAGCCCAGGGGCCACATTGCGAGAAATCTAGTCCCAAGTGGGCCAGACCGGTAAATTAAAAACAACTTCAGATTGTTTTCTTTGTTTTAATACAATCAATATAAAACAAGGCTGGAGCCTGAGGACAGTGTATCCAAAATAGTACAAGTACAACACCTGAAGTGTACTTGAAAATTTGAAATAAATAAAATAAAAAATCAATCAATAAAAAAAGCATTCCTTAGTGATTCAAAGAGCTTACAGATCACATGGCTAGATCACTTTCATGCAGCACTTAAAGTATATTTGACTAATTTTACCTAACATCTTTTAGCTTTCACCAGCACATCAATATCAGAAGTCACATCCTGAGTGGCGGCCAACTTCAGGATGTGATTCAAGTTCTTGTGTGGGCCTTGCGCGCAGCTTGGTTTTATTTATACTCATTACAGAGAAAACTTGCTCACAAAGATAAGTTTATTTTCACTCTACATTGTAAAGTATGAAAATAAAGTTTACACAACCATCTCGCGGGCCGGATTTAACCCGCTTGCGGGCCGGATCCGGCCCGCGGGCCGCATGTTTGACACCCCTGGTCTAGAGTTCATTTCAAGCGTGCTTTTTGCATTTGGAATCTGTTGCTGTAAACTGACAAGACATGTTTGAATAGTGCAGAGGTTTTTGACCCTAATAGCCATACATTGGTAAAGTCTTACTCAAACACAAAAAAACAACTTGCTTGCAATCATTTATGTATGCACTGCCCCCCATTGCCAGGGAAAATACACACAGTCACTTTAAATTTTTCCACAGAGCTCACAAACAGAAGGTTTCTATCCTGTGTGGACACTCATGTGCTTGAATAAATTTCTCTTTTGTCCAAATCTTTCTCCACAGAACTCAAGCAAATGGTTTATGTCCTGTGTGGACTCTCATGTGAGTGTTTAAATTCGACTTTTGGGTAAATCTTTTTCCACAGAGCTCACAGCCAAAAGGCTTCTGTCCTGTGTGGACTCTCATGTGACGGTTGAAAGCTGACTTATGTTTAAATCTTTGTCCACAGCGCTCACAGACAAATGGTTCATGCCCTGTGTGGACTCTCATGTGAGTGTTTAAATTCGACTTTTGGGTAAATCTTTGTCCACAGAGCTCACAGGCAAAAGGCTTCTGTCCTGTGTGGACTCTCATGTGACGGTTGAAAGCTGACTTATGTTTAAATCTTCTTCCACAGCACTCACAGATTAAAGGCTTCTGTACTGTGTGGACTCTCATGTGAGTGTTTAAATCCAACTTGTGTTCAAATCTCTCTCCACAGAACTCACAGGCAAAAGGCTTCTGTCCTGTGTGGACTCTCATGTGACAGATGAAAGTTGACTTATGTTTAAATCTTTTTCCACAGAGCTCACAGACAAATGGTTTATGTCCTGTGTGGACTCTCATGTGACTGTTTAAATTTGATTTATGGGTAAATCTTTTTCCACAGAGCTCACAGACAAAAGGCTTCTGACCTGTGTGGACTCTCATGTGATCATTTAAATTTGACTTTTGGGTAAATCTTTTTCCACAGAGCTCACAGACAAATGGTTTATGTCCTGTGTGGACTCTTATGTGAGTGTTTAAATTAGCCTTTTGGGTAAATCTTTTTCCACAGAGCTCACAGACAAATGGTTTCTGTCCTGTATGGACTCTCATGTGATCGTTTAAATTCGACTTATGGGTAAATCTTTTTCCACAGAGCTCACAGACAAATGGCTTATGTCCTGTGTGGACTCTCGTGTGATCGTTTAAATTCGACTTATGTTTAAATGTTTGTCCACAGAGCTCACAGACAAAAGGTTTATGTCCTGTGTGGACTTTCATGTGATTGAATAAATTTTTCTTTTGTCCATACCTTTCTCCACAGAACTCACAAGCAAATGGTTTATGTCCTGTGTGGATTCTCTGGTGTCTGTTATAACTTGATTTTGTACTAAATATTTTTCCACAGTCACCACAACTAAATGATTTTAGTTCTTTCTGGACATCCCTATATGAGTCTACAGGTTGCTTAAGTCCAACCGATTTCTTATTACCCAAAGAGCTGGAAGACCTGATTGCTGAATGACTGGTTACTCTCACGTGTTTCTGGAGAGACTGCTTGTCATGAAATCGTTCACAGCACTCAAGGCAGCTAAGGGATATGTTGACAGTCTTAACACCTGACTCAGAAGACCTTTTCTCATTCCAGTCATGGCCCTCGTCTCCAGTTTCAGACCCAGAGTCTGACATCCCAGAGTCTAGATTCATATCATCTCCACTAACTTCAGTCTCTGAAGAATCAGATGTTTGTTCATGAGGGTTCAGATCTGGGTTCCTGCTAGTTCCTGCTCCTCCACCAGTTTCTGCTGTCATCTGGTCAGATGAGCTGCTGGTTGGGACATCTTTGTCTTCTATTTGCTGCTGATGAAGCTGTGAAAACAGACGTTTCTCTTCATCATCCTCACTCTTTATAGAAACAGCAGTGAAATGAAACCAGGCAGAATCAGTCTCCTCCTTCAAACAGAGATGCTCTCCCTTAAGACTGGTCCAGAGTTCCTCCTTTTCCTCCTTTATGTGGAGATGTTCTGGGTCCTGCTGTTCCACACCAGCACTCTGTTCTTCAGGATCTTCTTTAACCTGCACCATCTGTTGAACATCTGTAGGAAACAGAAACGCATAACGTGAAATACCGACTGCTGTAACTTTAAATTCACACATATGAGAGTTGTGTTATTACATGGGTCTCCAGCATGTTGGTCGTGAGCTACCGGTAGCTCTTGAATGTCGCTGGCCTGGAAGCAGCCAGTGAGCTGCCCAGCCTGACTTGTAATTAACAAGGGACGGATTTCTAATTTGATGGCAAGCCTTCCCCGGTTCTCGTAATATCTCATGTAAAATTAGCATTTTGTGGAAGTAAAATAAAATCTGATTATTGCACAAATCTTTCAGCAAATGTTCTCTACTGGAAATATGTGGAATGGATTAATTGCTCAGGTTGCAGTGCGGATCCCCGTTTCTGATATCAGCGGCTGCAGCTGCAGGTGCCTCTAAAGACGAGGTGACGTCGGTCATACAGACCTGGTTTCGGAAAAACATCCTCAATAAAATGTTCTGGGCGACTGTAAAGTCCTATCTGCGTAAATATGTCGTTAAAGCAAATTAAATGCCCTTCGCTTATTAACACAATTAACAGGCTTTCTGTTGAAGCGAGACTAGTCTCAGGCTTGTTGATAAAATAAATCAAGCCTGAGATAGTCTCCCTCTGTGTAAACACTTGACCACCTGCCATTCCACTCCTGCATACAGGCCTGAGCTCAGCTCGTCTTAGTGTGTGTGTAAACCTTTGACCCGCAGCCCACACTGGTCCCCACTCTCTGCAATTCCGCCCCTGACTCTGGGTGTGTGTGTGGGCATCTGCCCTGCCTCCAATGCCCCCCCCTGCTCCGCACTCAGTTCTGTGGAACAAGCTGACTGGGTCCAACGGAACCAAAATGCCAGAGGTGTGAATGCTGACTTCTGTAGCGGAATATAGTTGTTATATTCTTACACTTTAAGGTCCAGAGTTTAATCTTTGGACCGGGCACTTAGAATCAGAAGAGGTTGTTTTTACCACAGGGAATTTTATTCAAACACCTTGTATTGAGTTAGAGACAAGAAAAGAGAGATGGGACGTTTAAGAATATTTATTTTATAATCATTCGAAACAATCACCAGGACTAACTCACTAATGATGGATGCAGATGAATGTGAGCTGACGTGTTGGTGTGTGTGTCAGTTCAGAATCTCCATCTGGTGGAGGCGAGTCTGAGTGCGAGGTGTTGTTGCCCTAACTGACCAACAATGGATTTCAGGAGGAAGACATGAGACGCAATCTATGCCGATCTACGTACCGAACGCGGAGACCTCCGTGTTAGATCCGGATGCCAGGTCCCTGACCCTCCTTGGTGCCGAAATTGGTGAAAGAGCGTCGGCAGCACGACAAACCAGTCTATGGATATCCTCCCGGTACAACGGCAGATTTCAGCGTCACGTAGAGACCCCCCTTTATTGGGTCATAGAGTTCAGCTTTTATTCTGAAGGAACCGCCGTCTTGTTGATATAACGACAGTTTTCCAGCTTGACAGTTCTCAGCTTAAAAGTAGAAAATACAGCTGGCCAGCCTGTACTTCACTTAGCGATGTTGGACATCAGATGGATTTGAGAGCTGGTTGAACTCACGTTGGAACTACGTTGAAACTTGCGGTGGAACCGATCTAAAATGGCGTTGTTCTGTTTTATTAAGCTCAGTTGTTTATGAATCTTAGCCAATCGGAGTGGACAAATTAACTAAACACCACAGAGCTCTGCCACGCATCAGAAAGGAAGTTCTGATTGGATGAGTGAACAATGTGTCAGGGTGTCTAGCTCAGTTAGTCCAAAGTCCTGTTATTCATTAAACACATAAATCATAACATTGTGATTTCACAGATCAGTCACCTGATTATTATTGACCAACAGTTGTTTTGATTAGCTTTATTAGAAATAAAGATCTTTTATTAACTAATGAAAAGCGTTCTTCGTCCTTCTTCTGTCTTCTTCTTTGCTGGAATGTAAACATCAAAAGCAAGCGCAAGACCTTGGCAATTTATGCACACTGTCACTGTGTCAAAGGGCAGCTGTTAAGGGCAGAAATGGCATATTCATAACGCTACACTTCTCATAATCCAGAGCAGGAGGTCCAAGGCCTGGTTCATGCTTCTCCGTCAGCTCCGCAAGGGACAGACACGCACGGATTGACGGAAGCGTTTTGCTCTCATACTTCTCCGTCAACTGGGGAGTGTTGCAAAGCAATTGCCCGGCAAGACAACAGAGGGCGTAGCGCTGTTCTGTGGTATCCTGTCATGTATCGGTCCAAGATAGTGTGTTTATATTGTGTTTTTTGTATATAAGAGACTTTTTAACACAGACAAATTTGTCTCTCCTTCTCCTCCACCTCTTCATGCGCTCGCCAACTCTAAACCCACGTTTCCTGTCATTTCCGTAAACAAATAAAACGCTTGCTGCGCATCTTTTCACTCCTCCAGTCACGGGGAATTAAACGTTCATATTTTAGAGTTTTTTCGCAAGGCATTCTTCAAGCTTCTCCGTGTCTGCCGCTTGTATCCTCGGCTCTCTTTATGTTTTTGAGGGTGCAATGGCGGCACTGTAGACAACAGCTGTGTCCTGACCAATCACAAGCTTGCGTTGTTCGTCTCCACTGACGGATGTTTAGAAAAGAGAGCTCGACTCCGTCCACCCTTGCGGAGCTCTCCAGCAGCTCCGCAAGGACGTTGCGTGTCTCCGCACTGACGCAGATGGAGAAGCGGATCTGTTGAGCAGCGAGTTGGTCCTTAACTGGTTCCATGGCACGGAAAGCTTCGTGAAGCTCCTTACTCCCTCCTCTGAAATTAGTGCCTTGGTCTGACAGGATCTCGTAAGGCTTTCCTCTTCGAGCTATGACAGTCGGAGGGACATTAAGAAGGAATCCATGTCCATGTTTGGTAGGAGGTCTAGATGGATAGCACGTGTAGTAAGGCACTTCTATAGGATCCCCCACCTCTTTTCAGTACGTCGTCCCACCTTTACAAACATAGGGCCGAAGCAGTCAACTCCTGTTGAATAGAAGGCAGGACAGAACAACCGCAAACTGGAAGGGGTCAAATCTGCCATTCTGGGGACTTGCGGGTTTCCTCTCCACTTCCTGCAATCCACACAATTGTGCTGGTGCTTCTTGACAGCTTCTCTTTCTCTCAACAGCCAGTATTCCCTACGCAGCTCTGCTACAGTAACCATGGCAACAAGCTGGTTTACAATCGGGAGTAGCTGATTAACATTGGGAAGGCTGAAATAATACCTCAACTGAAGCCACAAATCCCAAATGAGCTAAAACGCAAGAAGCGTGGGTGCAGAGCGGGAGAAAAACTGAGACAGAGAAAGAGGAAATTCAAACCATCTCTTCCATCGATCATAACGGGCAATGTGAGATCACTGGCCAACAAGATGGATGAACTCCAAGCCCTTTCAAGGACTCAGCCAGAGTATCGGCAGTGTAGTGTTATGTGTTTCACTGAGACGTGGCTGCAGGACCATATCAGTGATTCCAGCATCTCTCTGCCAGGATTCCTGACTGTACGAGCAGACAGAGATCTGAAGAGGAGCGGGAAAAGAAAAGGAGGTGGAGTGGCAGTGCTTGTCAACAACAGATGGTGCCACCCATGTCATGTTTCAGTGAAATGTTGTCTCTGCAGCCCAGATGTTGAACTCTTGGCAGTAAGTTGTCGCCCATATTATTTGCTAAGAGTTCACCAGTGTTGTCTTGGCAACCGTTTATATTACACCTTCAGCCATGGCTGAAAATGCATGTAATGACGCCATCAGTTCCGTTGTCGCTAAGGTACAAACCCAGCACCCCAATGCATTTGTGGCTGTATCTGGAGATTTTAATCATGCCTCGCTCTCTGCTATACTTCCAACATTTCAACAGTTTGTCAGCTGCTCCACCAGAGAAAACAACACATTGGATTTGTGTTATGCAAATGTAAACAATGCACACATGTAAACAATGCACACATGTCCAAAACAAGACCTTCTCTGGGACAATCAGATCACAATCTTGATTTTGTCTGCTCAGAATACAAACCACTTGTTCAGAGGCAACCTGTGACAAGAAGAACTGTGAGAAAATGGTCACAGGATGCTGAAGAAGCCCTGCAGAGTTGTTTTGAGACCACTGATTGGATGGCTCTCTGCCAAGGATATGAAGAGGACATCAATGCCATGACTGGATGTGTCACTGACTATATAAACTTCTGTGTGGACAACATCATACTAACCAGAACGGTGAGATGCTTCGCTAATAAGTGTGTGTGTGTGTGTGTGTGTGTGTGTGTGTGTGTGTGTGTGTGTGTGCTGCTCTGTCTTCTCGATCCCCAGTGAGTAGTGGAGGATGGCTGCTTATACTGAGCCAGGATTCTCAGGTTTCTTCCGGTTAAAAGGGAGTTTTCCTCTCCACTGTCGCTTTATGCTTGCTTAGTATGATGATTGCTGTAAAGTCACTGACACTAGTGAGTGACTTGATGCAATTTGCTGGGTTCCTTATATAGGAAACATTATTTCTGATTGGCTTAATGAACTGACCTGAATTGGAATATTTATTATGTGAAGTGCTCTCTTGTCGTGATTTGGCGCTATATAAATAAAATTGAATATAATTGAATTAATAACAAACCCTGGATCACCAGTAAACTGAAGAATCTGCTAAATGAGAAAAAAAAGAGCCTTCACGGAGGGAGACAGGGAATTAATGAGGAGTATACAGAAGCAACTGAAGATCAAGATCAGAGACAGCAAGGAGGCATACAGGAAGAAGCTGGAGAACAAACTACAGAGGAACAATATCAGAGATGTCTGGTCAGGGATGAAAAAGATCACAGGCTTCAAGCAGAGGAAGGATTGGACAGATGGCAGCCTGGACACAGCCAATGAACTGAACAAGTTCTTCAATAGGTTCAGTTCAGGCCTGTCCCCAGCCAATCAGATATCCCATCCTCCTTTGATCCAACATTTTCCTGTCACACGCCAGCTCTTTTGTCCTCTAATGCAGTCATGGACTCTTCTGGTTCTATAAATCTGTCTTCAACCAAGTCAGGATATGCTGCTGCCCCATTTACCTCCCCCTCCCACCTATCTGTCTCTAGAAGTCAGGTGAAGAGGTGGCTGGAGAGACTGAACAGGAACAAGGCTGCAGGTCCAGATGGTGTCAGCCCCAGGGTACTGAAGGCCTGTGCAGAGCAGCTCTGTGGGATTCTAAAGCACCTCTTCAACCTCAGCCTGGCCCAGGAGAAGGTTCCAGTCCTGTGGAAGACATCCTGCCTTGTTCCAGTTTTAAAGAAAACTCGCCCATTTGTCAATGACGACTACAGACCGGTTGCCCTGACATTCCACATCATGAAGGTCCTGGAGAGACTCCTGTTGGTCCACCTGAATAAGCAAACTAGAACGTATCAGGACCCGCTGCAGTTTGCTTGTCGCCATGGAGTTGGAGTTTAAGATGCCATCATCCAGCTGCTTCAACCAATCCACTGTCATCTGGACAAAGCAGGCAGCACTGTCAGGGTCATGTTCTTTGATTTCTCCAGTGCATTTAACACAATCCAGCCTGATGTACTTTGCCAGAAACTCCAGAAGACATAGGTGGGGGCCTCAACTATCGCCGGGATTAAAGACTACCTGACAAACAGACCACAGTTTGTGAAGCTGAAGAACTGCACATCAAACCAGGCGATCAGTAACATTGGAGCACCACAGGGGACTGTACACTCACCATTTCTTTTCACCCTGTACACCTCAGACTTCCAGTACAAATCAGAGACCTGTCATCTACAGAAATACTCAGATGACTCTGCAGTTGTCGGGTGTATTAGAGATGGACAGGAAGCTGAGTACAGAGAGCTGGTGGAGAGCTTTGTGGCATGGTGTGGAAACAATCTGACCTAGGGATGCTCAATTAATCGAATTTTAATCACGATTACGATCTGAGTTTTGAACGATTATAAAAAACAAAACAAGCAGATTATTTGCTCCTCCCACTTGCGCTGCCCTGAGTTACAAGTATTATTAACTAACATAGGTTTGATCTAAAATAATAACCTACATCTTGTAGCGACAAGAATGGCCTCATATTTGTGACCCAAAGGTTACACTTCCCCAGCTGGGTCAAGCTGTAACTTTTGTTCCACAGATTATCCATCTGTGAAGGAGCCGTGAAGTCTGATAAACATCATATTTTATCTGTCTGCTGTTCCGTCCCAAGATGAAGGACACTTAAAGATTTTAGAATAATAATTTTAATAAACTGTTTTTACTGTTTATTACAATCATATAATAATCATCATAAATAATCATCATGGTTCAGTATTAATGTATTTAATTACTGAAAAGATGTATTATTCTTTGCGTTAATAATAATTATTATTTATGATAATCAGTAATGTGTGATCAGTAACCAGAAGGTCATTGGCACGTGTACACCTCATGCAGGACTGAATCCAGGGTAAAAGTTAACTTGCTCTCACACGTCTTTGCTCCATAACAAAAAGCTTTCTGACACTGAGAGGGCATGTTCTGAGGTTTTGTTAAAACTAAAATCTCAGCAGCTCAAGTCCAGTTCTTGAACAAACCAGAGGACGAGGGACGGCCACCTGAATCCTCACTAAGCGTTCTGTCACGCCGAAAGAATCGCTCCGAATAAATGCACCTGTAACCAGCTGACGCAAAACTCCTTCAGAGTTATTGATTTTGAGACGCAAATAGTTTCATCAGTCGTTGTGACCCGGAGACATCTCAGGACCGATTTGAGTCGCACTAAGGTCCTTCTACCCACCTCGTGCTCGGAAGAAACCCTTTCCACCTGACATCTCGGATCCACAGAGGGTCTCCTGAACTGGGTGAGGTAGACACTGTCCGACAGATGGCGTCTGATGCTGTTCTCTCTAAGAAACAATTCATTTAGCTGCAAAAACAAGTTTTCACCCAGAACGCGTTTCTCTCTCTGAAAGAAGTCTTCTGAGATCATCCACGCATCCAAACCTCGCATTTCATTTTAGTTTTCCATCCAGACACAGGTTTGCTTTTAATAACAAGTTTAATATCAAAGCTGTTACAAATTGTCAGTTACAAATTGTTATTTTTTAAATTGTAATTTCAAATTGTCATCGTTAAAATTGTTAGTAATAAATTCTTAACTTTTTAAACCTGACTCTTCTTTGAAATGAAAAACAGGTGTACATTTGGTTATTGAATAAGCAAAGAATCCATTAAGTCTTCTGTTTAATAAATAACTTTTGCTATTAAATTTAATTATCTTAAATTAAAAATCAATCTTTCGATTAAAATATAGACCAAGACAGTTAGTGTATGAACTTCTATCAATTGTATTAATATATCCTAGATATTTATGCATAATATAAGTTCATACCCTTTTCTCAGGATCTAACCAAACTGATAGCAAACAGTGTTAAATCCTAGTATGTAGATCTGCCCACGCTACATTTCAATTTAACCCATTACAGATGACCAGGACACTGTAATCAATTTTTGGCAAGAGAAATGATCATTTTTTGCCATTTTTGGGGTGTTTATGATGATACAGTAGACAGTATGAGTATAATAACATCAACAGATAATACATAAAACCCTTATTTGGTCAATTTTAGCCTCCATGAAAAACTGAGCGATTCAATCACTTTTTGGCAAGTAAAATGCCATTTTTGTTGTCTACAATTAAATCATCAATAAAGGATTTAAAGATATTGTGAGGCATTTCTTTTAGGTAAACAGGAGGGTATAGTCACTATTTGGCAATTGACTATCTAAATTTTATGTGTTGAAGTGCTTTTATCTTGTTAATTTTAACTAGAGCAAAGTAATGTATAGTAACCTACACAGTTTCATTGTAAAGCCAAAGCTTGATCAGTTTAAATACTATTTTTCAAGTAAAAATGTGCCCCAAACTAGTTAACTGTGGCTCTGGCTCCATGTCAAGTGGACTAAAGAAAAGAAGGGAAAAAAATCAAATCGCTGGAGAATTGTTTATTTCCATTTATACAACGTTTACATTCAATACAGTGCGCCATTTTACACTGTTTATTTAGTTTTTTGTATCAAGGCTGTAACATAAAGAAGGTCAGTTCTTACCACAAACCATCTTTCAATCGCAAATATTGCAAAAAGGATCAATATATCCTCATTGTGAACGTTTAAGACAAATAGCAACACTTAAAACAACTTCCGAACTGGAAAAAACTAATATCCGCAATAAACATCTGTTTAAGTACCGGACGAGGTTATTTCTGCTTTCTGAATGTCCATATTGCTAGATATTCCAAGTTTTAAGGCAAAATCCTGGGGAATTTCGACAAGAAATGCAATTACCCTAACCGTGCGCAATCCCACAGTGGCTAATCTTTTTTTTGGCAGCCAGTCGCTTTTTCGGCACAACACCGTTTGTCATCCTGGATAGAAAACAATGATCCGAGCTAGCAAGTTAGCATTGGCAATCGGTTAAATATTTTCCGATGTTATATCTATAAATACACACAGCAGTAAAGCTGGCAACATGTTATTTTACTCATCTGTAGATTACTGAATTATATTGGGACAATATGAACGAATGAATGAATGATCAATTTATTCAGTCAGTCATCTTAAGATAATGTGTACAATAACATGTCATACAAATAGATACAATATGCCATGTATGATTGCATAAGTGAACAGTATTTTAGACGTAAGGCCTTATGGCTTAGTATGTCCTTCAGCTTATATAATAGACCCAAAGATTTGGCAATTTTTCCTTTTATATAATTTAAATGATGCTTCCAGGTGTTGTGATTGTTGGGCAAACGAATAATTTGTAAGCTTTTACTTACTTTTTGGATTCTTCAATAAAATTCGTAAATATGGAAAAATTTACAGATTTTATTACATAATTAGGATATCCGGAGATATGCCTCGGGGCACCACCCTTTTTAACAAGGGAAAATGAATCCAAACCTCTTATCAGTCTGTCTTAAAGTTAGTTAGATTCGTTTACGAGCTGCAGTTAATTTTTATATCAACACAAACAAATCACCTGAGACAAAATCTTAATTGGCAATAGGGCTGCAACAAGCGATTATTTGGATAATCGATTAATCGGATGGGGTCTCGACACGATTAATCGATTAATCGGATTACATGCGGAAATTTTAAAAAACTGCTAGGGAAACGTTATTTCTCTCCTTCCTTCACTTTATTAAACACATAACATTATTAGAAAACAGTTCAATAACAGAAAAACAACATGCTATCACCTAAATTGTCTTACAGCTTCAAATAAGTTGCATTGCAATGCAAAAATGTTAGCATATCAACATGCTCCTGACTCAGACTGGCTCGCTTCTTTGAGGCTATATTGCCAGCAGCAGAAAACAGACGCTCAGATGGAGTTGAGGTCCCTGGGATGGACAAGTAGGACCTTGCTAGCCTGGCCAACATGGGATATATGTCTTGGTTCTCTTTCCACCACTTCAATGGGCTTTCTTCTTTTGCAAGGTTCTTTTCTCCAAAGTAACTGTTGACCTCATTCCTCACTCGAACATTCTCATCATCACTAGTTTCCACTTGCCCTGGACTGTCTTCATCACCATCAGAGTCAAGGAGTGAGTCAAGAAGAGTTCCTGGTGTTGATTTAGAAGCTGCATCACTGGTAGATGTGGTCCTGCTACTGCTTCGCTGCTGCATATCCACCTCCCTTCTCTCTTTAAATGCCATTGCTTGGATTTTGCCCTGGACATCAAAGATTTCCTGTGGTGACAGAAACTTCAGTCTCCTGAACCTTGGGTCAAGGGCTGCTGCAAGAACTACTGTGTTTGGTGCAGTGTCTGAAAAAGATGTTTCAAACTTCCATCGCTCTTGCAGCTGCTCCACAGTTGTAAGCTTGAAAGCCTGCAGTGCAGCTGACTGAAAATCTGCACTCAGAGTGGACCTCAACAGCCCCTTCACCAGTGGAGGTATAGCAGATATAGTGGTGTATGTCTGCCCGCTCATAAAGACAGTGGCACATTCAAAAGGCTTAAGAGCCTCCGAAAGCTCCTCAAGCAAGCTCCACTGGTCTGGTTTCAGGTCCAGATACTTTTTGTCCTTGTGTGTGACCGAGCTGTCAGACAGTGTTGCTGTCACGGGCCACCTTTGTTCAAGCAGTCTGGTGATCATATAAAATGTGCTGTTCCACCGTGTGCTTACATCTTGGACTAGGTTGTGCTCAGGTGTGGCCATTTGTTTCTGTTTTTCTTTAAGCTTTGTGGTGGCAAGCTCACTTCTCTTAAAGTGTTCAACCAGACATCTTGCCGCCCTAACAGCTTTATCGATAGCTTGATTCTTCAAAGCAGAGTTTATCACAAGTTGTAAGGTATGGCCAGTACAACTGACAGAGGACCACCCATGTTTCTCCTCCAGGATGTTTGCTGCAGCCACAACATTGGCACCATTATCATGCACTAGAGCAATGATTTTGTTGAGAGGAATGTCAAATCGGGTTACTGCCTCCTCTAACCACTCTGCAATGTTGGATGCAGTGTGTCTGTCCTGCAGTGGTTTGGTGGTGAGGCAGATTGACTGCATTTCCCAGTCTTCTGTGATGTAGTGACATGTAATTCCAAGGTACGCTTCAGTGGCAATGCTGGTCCAGACATCAGCTGTAAGAGCAAGCTTGCTGCTTGTTGATTTAATTACAGTCATAATCTTTTGCAATGTGTCCACATATTTTCTCTCCATGAGTTTGGTGAAATGGGTCCTGGATGGGAGGGTATAACCAGGATTCAAGGTATGGACCATGGCGATAAAACCATCATCCTCCACCATTGAGAGAGGCCTCATGTCAGTCACCAGCATATTCAACAGGGGTGGACCTTTAAAGCGCCCGAGCGCCAATGGCGCTAAATTTTCTCGTCGGGCGGTAAATACTTGACGACTTACCGCCCGGGTGGCGCCCAAGCTTTATTTGTCATTTACACACCGGCTTTCACCTACATCATGGTCCCGCCCTGTAGGAAGCTGCCGTTTTCGTTTCGCGCGCGTGAACCTGCGCGCCTCTAGCCACGTACTGCACTTGTACGATTCGTGCACGTCCTGCACGATTCTAGTTATTGTCACGTGAACTATAAGTTCACTATTAAAGACGAAGTGGAACCACGCTAGAAACACACAAGCACGCAGGAAGATCGCGCCACCACAGGGATTGGATTTCTTGATGAATTCTCCGGCAAAACGCTTTAAAACTGGTGAGGAGAAGCGAGACAGTTCGAAACAGTATGAAGCAGAGAAGCGTGTGCGTAGGTGGAATGATTCTTGGCGGTTTAAAGAAGACGGTAGGCGCGGAG